AGAACTTCCCTGAGCAGTAGATTAGCAATTGTAGTTTGACAGGCTGTCTTAAATCACATGCTGAATTGCTCCTCCTGCCTTTGTCGTATTTCAATAAAAGGGGCTCCCAGCGTCCAATCTGGGTTGCTCCATCCCGAGAAAGCTCGTGTCCGTGTCTTCTCAACATTGGCCTCATGGACGAACCACGGGTACATCACAATGGAACACCTGAACTCAGGTTCAGGGGATCCATAAGAAACCTGAGTTAAAAGAGGAGAACAGGTGCTTTTCTCGTGGCTGGACTCATTTAAGAACAATGTTGGTCAACCCTGGCCATTTTTAAGGCGTGTGGACGACTTCTTCTGTTTTGAATACAGTGTATTTTCAGTGTCAGGGTTCCAAATAGCATCCAAAAGTAAATCAGGAGTCCAAAGCAAAGTATTGCTCAAAGTTCCAGTTTATTAAGAGAGTTGGCATATCTGGGAAAACCTAAATCTGAAAGCTTCCCAGTTTTCCCCACCCAGTTGAAAGCTCAAGCCAGTTCTGGTCAGGTGCAGAGACACAAAGGATGATTTTCTAGAAAGGATTTTGTTATGGCTGCATAGCATCTGACTCCTACAATCCACCCCTCCCATTTTCCTATAATAGAAAATGCCTAGTAGAATAATAGAAAGTGTGGCAGGCCAAAGATCCCAAAGAAAAGAAAAACGAAGATAAAACAAAATGAAATATTAACACATATACCGGTAACAATAGTAATAATATAAGGGAATACTTTTGGCTCAGTTTCTTCTTTATATTAGCTTATTCATAGTTCTGTTAACTAAATTAGCATATTTATAATGATAAGCCATCTTTATAAATTTGTTCATACATAGCACTCATCTTTCTTCATCTAATTTCTACCTCTGATCTCTAACAGTTCATGAAATCTGTTCCACGTCAAATAATATTCTGCGTCTTTTCTTTTTAAAGTCAATCTATCCATCTCTGAACAAGGTAATATTTTCTAAATTACACCCTCATCTGATGGAGTGTTCTCCTTTTTTCAATATTGAGCAAATAACAATCCTTGCTTCTGTCAGTACATGCAAAACTAAATATAGAGACCCTTTATCATAACCTTCCGGCATTTTAGCCAACAAAAATATTTCTGGTTTCAGATCTATATTTTGCTTCATCATCTTTTCCAACCAAGTATGCATTTTCTTCCAATATTTTCTTGCTTTCATACAGGTCCACCACATATGATAATAAGTACCTGGGGTCTGATTACATTTCCAACTTTTGGCAGACACATTACTAAACATTTTTTTGCCAATCTCGCCATGCTGGCTGGGGAAATCTGGGAATTGAAGTCCACGCATCTTAAAAGTTGCCAAGGTTGAGAAACGTTGAGTATGAACGTGGGGATGAAGGCTTGAATCTTCCACCTTTTGTTGGTGACCTATGCCCAAGGCATGGACAGCAATGGCTCATTTTGCCTTTTGTGGCTGCTCTTGGCTTGTGAAAACCTGTATAAGTGGTGTCATTTTGATAGCTGCAGAAGCATGTAGTCTGTGGGCTGATCAGCAAGGGTGAAAGAGTATTAATCTGGAAGCAGATACGGATTTCCCAGGTAGGTCTGGGAAAGTAAAAATAAAGTCTCAAATCAAGGTCACTTCCTGGTGACTTCAGGAATGTAGAGTTTGTGTTTTTTGTTTTTTCATTTTGTTTAGCAACCATACAAAGGTAGTTTGCCACCAACTGGGAGTTTTCCTAACTTCCTAGTCCAGTTTACATCCTTGGCATTTCAAGGTGGTCTCCTGTTCAGATATTCTCATCAGTGCTTCGCTTTCAAGCTCCGAAAAGGTTGACCTGGTGTGGATCTTGGGCCGTTATGGCAAACCCACGCGCACCCAAATGGCATACGAAGCCATGCTGCCTGGCACGTGTGGCCTTGCCTGATTGTCTGCCGGGTTTCTGGTGTACATGCGTACGCGATGAACAGCTGTCCTTCACGCGTAGGGGCAGTGCCAAAAAAACATTGCACGCATGTGCGCCGGCCAGCTGATTGGCGGGGGCACATGCGTGCTAGAATCCAGAAGTTTTTTGCTTTCCAGAGCGCGGCCCTGATGATCTTGCACATGTGCAGGCAATATTTCTGCACAGCCTTTTTGGCACTCGGTGCTGGAAAGGTTTGCCATCACTGATCTAGGAGAACTTGCGGGCAACTTGCTGCAGCCAATTTGCCATGGGAGAAGGGTTACACAAATATAAATATAGAGCTGAGGTAGCGCAGTACTGCAGGCTACTTCAGCTGACCGCTAGAAGCAGTTCAGCAGTTCAAATCTCACCGCCTCAAGGTTGACTTAGCCGTCCGTCCTTCCGAGGTGGGTAAAATGAGGACCCAGATTGCTGGGGGCAAGTGGCTGACTCTGCTGCTTAGGGAGGGCTGTGAAAGCACTATGAAGCGGTATATAAGTCTAAGGGCTATTGCTGTTGCTATATAGAAGAAATAGAATCATTGAAAGGATGCCAAAGGAGGAACAGAAGGAAATGCAAATGACAAAAATTAAAATATTTTAAAAATTATTTTAAATAATTGATTTGTCGAATTGTCCTGCGACAAGTTGATTGCAGTGAGCCGGCAACACTGAGTTGCCCCCCTTCTGCTTTGTGTTGGGAGGCTGAAAGGGAGGGGGCTCCTCTAGGGGGCGTAGAGACATTCAAATTTAACTATGTTTTGGGGGGGAAATGTCTGTGGTCAAATATTTGCTCTCTATCTGCTGTTCCCCTAGGAAAGATAGGGAATGGCAGATTCCTGTAATATAGGCGATCAACAATAGAATATTTACTTAGGGCTGTCCGTGAGTGGTTCTGATTGCTTGCGCCTTGACATAACCGAACTTGAGGATACAGGGATACGGTGGCTCAGCGGTTAAGATGCTGAGCTTGTCGATCAGAAAGGTCGGCAGCTTGGCAGTTCAAATCCCTAGCGCCGCGTAACGGAGTGATCTCGCGTAACTTGTCCCAGCTTCTCCTAACCTAGCAGTTCGAAAGCATGTAAAAATGCAAGTAGAATAAATAGGAACCACCTTTGGTGGGAAGGCAACAACGTTCTGTGCACCTTTGGCGTTGAGTCATGCCAGCCAGGTGACCACGGAGACGTCTTCGGACAGCCCTGGCTCTCTGGCTTTGAAACAGAGATAAGCACCGCCCTCTAGAGTCAGGAACGACTAGCACATATGTGCAAGGGGAACCTTTACTTTACCTTTAACCTTAAGTTGGGGATACTGGTCTATCCAGCCTCAAGTCTTTTTCTGACAACTCCATGTCTTCTTACCTCATCCTCTTTCATCTTTGATTCATCTTTGCAGGTGAACGATACCAACTTCGAGAACATGAGCAACGACGATGCTGTACGAGTGTTGAGAGAAATTGTGCACAAACCGGGGTAAGTCCTCCCTTCGGCCTCCAGTTTCTTTTGGTGCAAGCTTGAATGATTTATAGGTAGTCCTCCACTTACGACCACAATTGAGCCCAAAATCTCCGTGGCGAAATGAAAAAAATGTGTTGTGAGTTTTGCCCCATTTTACGACTTTTTTTGCCACATTAAGGGAATCACTGCCATTCTTAAATTAG